CTAGGGAATTTTCTAAGGGATCCTAAGAGGGTTAGGGACCTATGGTAGAAAAGTCAGGGACTGAATCTAAAGGGAGAATCACTAAAGAAATTCTAAATCACAAAGTGTCCAAAGGGAGATCAAATGGGGAAGCTCCCAAAAGTTTAGTTCAAAACAGAACTTAAAGTCATCTAAAAATCACCCTAAAAATCACACAAACTCTTTAATATGTCTATAATAAACCAGCAAAGAATTAGTTCCAAATTCTATACCAAACTTGCATACAAAAAATAGCAAGAAACAAGCATAAAATTGCAAATTAAGTGAAATCAATAAAATGGAAAAATGGCAAATAAATTGGAAATTGCATCAAAATAAAATCTAAGCATGCCAAAAAATCAGAAATTAAATGAGGAGCATCCACGTATTTTTGTTTTATTTTTCTGATGATTACTCAATTTTATATCAATTAAACAAGAAAAATGCAATTAAAGAAAATAAAAATGAAATAAAAGAAATCAAATGCTGAGAAAATAACAGGGGCGTTGGATTTGTGGACTGGGTCAGCTAATCTAATGATCCAGGGCGTGCCAGCACATTAATTAAACGGTGCATTTTGGGGAGTCAAAGTCCAAAATCAGAGGGATTCTCGTGCGTACGATCTCATGACTAGGTCTTCAACTCACACAGATCCAATGGACGTGGTTCATCGTTCCCATTCAAACTTCAGATGGAGGGAAATATTCAGGGCGGTGGTCCGGTGGCTGCGCCACCGTCTTCTCCGGTGAGGCACGAGTTGCAGGTCATGAAAACAAGTCAAACCTTATATGGATCTTATCCATTTTTCTTCCTGAATCCAAATCCATCATCCTTTTCTCCTAACTCTCACTGGATATTAAAACACGATGGATAACAGAAAAAACACCAAGATCTTGATCATCACCAATCTCACAATTAAGGCCACAGACCTCTTCCTCATTCTTCAGAGATCAACCTAAGTTATTCCAAACATGTTAACACCTCAAGATCAGGTTGATTCGAATCCAAACAGAAAACTGATCATATCCTACTTTGTCTCTAAACTCCAAAATTATGAACCTAAATCCATCTATATCCTTCTCTAAGCCTTAACCACAGTTCAATTCTACCTAGATCAACCTAGAACTAGAGCAATCGTGAAAGTTACCAACCTGAGTTGTAGCTTGAAATTGGAGCAGTTACACTGTGATTCTTGGCTCCAACTTGTGCAGATTCGTTCAAGGATCAATGCTGAAGATGATAGAATCCACGATTTGCTCTGAAATGCTCTTGAAATGGAAACACGATTTTCAGTTGAAAGCTTGAAAATTCTAACTGCAATCTCTGGTTCTTGCACTGAATAACCACCAAACTTGATCTGAATCTCTTTCTGAACTTAAATAGAGTTGGTTTGGGTGATTTAGAGGCCCAATTCAGGATATCCAAGTTTTCAATTTTCTTCCAAAACTCAACAATGGAATACACGGTTCTGGCTCAGTTCCTTCTTCTAGAAGCTTCACATACATTGTCTATGGCCTGCTGAGAAGGAATGGACAGGATTGAGTCCTTGTTATCATCTTATGGCCAAGATTGAATGTGTTACTTATCCATGAAGTAACAAAGTGAAACACCATGAAATAAGCCTCAAAATGATTTTTCAATAATGCCAAAGTGTTCCAAATGGTTTTTCTAGTAAAAATGAGTACTCATATGCATTTTCTTGACCTCTTATGATTAAATTTGAAATTTTCAACTTAAATGCCTTTTAATTTCTCCTTTGTCAAACTTCCATGAACCAAGTCTTGCTCCAGGCCAAATCAATGCCTTATGGATACATGGTTAACCTTAAAATCCCATTTTGAGCAAGTTTTGTGTTAGACAAAACTTCATTTGAGGCTCCCAAGATAGTGAAAATGACCCATAGTCCAAAATGACCTATAATCTCACTTTCCCAAAATACCCTTGACTTGTAAACCTCATAACTTGAGTTCTACAAATCAGATGAAAGTCTTATAGTACAATTTGGAAAGCTAAGATCAAGACCTACAACTTTCATGTTGGCCAAAAGTTGAGGAGAAACATCCTTCTAAGTTAAAAGTTCCTTGGAAGTTGGTTGACTTTTCTAGACAAATTTCACATTCATCTGATGACCTGTAACTTGTCTGGATCATAACTTGAGTTCTATAAATCCAATCAAGGACTTCTAGTACTAAAATTAAAGGTAAGAACATGCTCTACAAGTTCCATGTTGGCCCAAAGTTGATATGAAACTTGCATCTTGAGATAAGTGGTCTTGAAGTTAGGCACTATATAGGGGATTTTACCCTGAGAACCCTAGTTTAGCAACTCCTCCCACTTGGAATTCTTCTTGGATTGATCTTGGAATAACATCTCAAATGCCTCAAAATAAAATTCCATGAACACCATGACTTAGAAATAGGTTTTGATCCTCTTCAATTGCACAATTGACTTAAGGTTACTCAGATGAAAACCCTAATTGTAACACCCTCAACTATGGCTCTCCACACTTGGAATGAACACTTGAATGAACTCTACCATAACCCTCAAGGCCTCCAATGAGCTCTATCCACATACCCTATCCATGATCCAGGCTTCACAACCCACTGATGGTCTTCTATGCCCCCCAAGTTAGGAGATGAACCCCATACTAGCATCCAAACTTCTCAAGAACACAACCCACTTTCTGATGACCTTGGTGACCTCTCAAGCTTGAATAAGACCTCTAGATAGGCTCCTCTTGATATAAACCACACTTGATCCCCTGCTAAATGAATAATGCTATGCTATGCAAATGCTAGAACAATGGTATGCTAATGCAATGAAACATAAACCAAGTAAGAAAAGGTTAGGCAAATTTTGGGGTGCAACAAGGAGCAGTTATGCTTTCTCATTGTTGAACGAGACAAGTGGCGCACATCCAAGAGGCAACTACATGCAACACGACACTTGTCAGGGGCTGATCATTTTAGGAAGTTAACAACAGTTAATTGTATTATTATAAATAGGATTTCTAGCCATAGAATTCGGTGTGTTATGTTTACTATTGTACAAGTCACTCCAAATTTACTCAAAGTATTCGTGTGTAGAGAAAAGAGTTCTGGGAGAATGTAGGTAACGTAAAAACACCATTTTATGCTTTAATGAAATTTACTTTCACTTTGCATTAAAAGAGTTTATCTTTTACTTTCCTGCAATTTACGTCTTTGGCATTACGTTTGGTTTCTTCTAAGTTTTTTTTTTTCTTAAAGCATTTTACCTGTTCTTTCAAATTAATGTCCTTACACTCCTGTCGAACCATACACTTCAATTAATCTTTCTTCATGAACATTGTCGAAGTGTTCAGTCTTTAGTATTTTCTATAGATTAAAATTTAGCACATGTCCTAGGATCAATCTGATCGATCCTCTAAGTCACCAAAGTTAGATTTGAAAGACCAGCGGTTGTTTTCCAATTTTCACGAGAAACAATCACCAATAGATTTAGCTGGCGAAACTTGTTTTGATTCATTTTGAATTATTGTATAATTGGACGACTAATTGTAAAAATTTTGAAGTGCAAAATAGCCACTTTTTATTCTTATGCCTTATTTATGCACTTATACCTTTTATTTGTCTATTATGATGTGATTCTATATTGAGTTCTGGTTTAAAAATGTAGCAAGAAAAGTTTCGGATATGTATCTACGGAAGGTTCTTAATTTTGCAGTTTTATGAAAAATTTCGGAGATACACCTCCGAAACCAATAATTGTGGGTTCGTTCCGTGAATATAGCTCCGGAAAAAAGATTGATAGAAAATGGTTGGTCCATATTCACCTAGGTTTTCTATAAATTTGGGATTTCATTTGTTATCTTTCACACAAATACAAAAATGTCTCAATTGTTTGAAATCAAGCTCCATTGTATGTCGCAAGTGTCTCCTTTTCCGACGGCAAAACACCTGGGAGGACGTTCAACCTCATGGACCTCACCCCCTTGCCGATATCATAGACAAGATCCAATATCGTCCATCTTACAATGACAAACGAAAGGTTGTGAAGTTTGAGTATCGTTCACCTTCAGTTGACAACGAAGGGAACGTTGTTTACATCAAGTTTGAGCTCAAGAATCAAGACGATGTTAGGACAATGTGGCGAACATATTTCGGTTTCGAAGAGAAAATTCCGCTTGAGTTGGAGGCGACGGTCCGAAGAACGGTCGATGACATCTTAAAGATGTGCAAGCGTCCACCGGACTATTGAATTGTAGTATTTAAATTTCTATCAAAATCAACAATGTAACACCAATTTTATTTTGTAAATATTGATTTTATCGTTGCAGTGTTGATTTTCTGATTCTAGGTTTCTTCCGTATATACGCATACGCAAATATTTCGTAGATTCATCTACTGAATTAATTAAAAAAAAGTTTTAAAAAGTTGCTTTCAAATATACATCTTTGGAATTAGGAGGGCATTTTTGTCAGCGCACATGTTACATAAGAAACCTAAGGAATGTCATAAGAAATTCTCTTAATTTATCTATTTCGATCCAATAATTTTCACTCTATGTTACAACACAAGAAGCCCGGACATGAAGCTTTAGAAACTCAAATGAAAAGGGATATAAACAAAACTAAATTTTCTACTTGGTTCAAAGTTCAAACTAATAAACAATACAGACAATTTATCTCTTCTAGCTTTTCCCAGTCTTGAAACAGAATTCTCATTATTGATAGCTGCTTATCCATCTGCATTTTGAAGAAAAACTATTAGCTCTATCAAATTTGGGTATCAACTATGCAGGCCTTACAATAGAGATCCCTATTAACAAAAGAATGAAAATCAACAATGGCTAGCAATATACACTTTTAACCAATATAACAGTAAACAACTCTTCTTAGCTAGTGATATTAAAGAAAAGGGTACCTGAAACGGATGTGCACTGCTTCCTTTCTTCCACTTGCTTATATTGTTGCAGTACTCCACATTTGTACATGCTAAGAATCATTTTAGGTAAACAATATTTTTATTTTCCAAGGATGAGAGGCAATGCAGAGTGGATGGTGTTTCCAGGAGACGACCACAATCAATTATTACGATTTCTTGTATGGAAGGAGGATGGTTGGGCAAATGTCCTTTCAGTTCAGGACACTTCTGTAACCTCAAAGTTTGGAGACAAGGAAAAGGAAATTTTCCACCTTCAAAGGGAAGCCATTCTTTCCAACTTGACATGTTTCTAAATTGCAAATTCTGTAGGGATGGAAATGGTTGGAATGAAGATCTGGAACCTTCTCCTACCATGCCATAGAACTCCGGGCCAATTGTCTTCAACGTCTTCATACCATCTATCCTTAGGTGCTTCAGAGAAGATAGCTGCCCTAGTGGTGGAAGTGTACGGCAATATTCACAATCACTGATGCTAAGGTACACCATGTAAGAGAATGAAGAATCTCCCAACCAACTTGGAAAGATTTTTCCACCATAGTAGTTAATACTCAGTTTCTTCAAGGTTATTGATGGTTGCAACATATCAAGCACGGCTAACTGTACTTCACAGCATTCAGTTTGCTCACCCCATTGTAGCACTAACTCCTCGATTTGTTGTTTGCTTTTTATGTTTGCAGCAAATGCCTCCATGGAATCAATGACATTATGCAGGTTCAAGATAGTAAGTTTTCCTTGTAAGTATTGAAATTTTCTGAGCTCTTTGATACTTAACCCGACTTGACTCTTACCCACTATAAAAACAGTTAGAGTTTGAAGTTTTTCTAGCTTAGTAATTTGCATTGGCATCTCTCTTATTTTCGTCCCACTGATATCAAGGTGACGTAAATTGATCAGCATTCCAATATGTGATGGCAAACCAATGAGATGACAACAATTTGATAAAATCAAGGTTTGCAAATTGTAAAGGTTACATATCGTATCCGGCAAACTTTTGATTCCTGTGTTGGAAAGATCTAGATACCTCAACTGCGTCAAATTGCCAAGTGAATCAGGAAGCTTTTTGATATCTTTATACTTTGACAGCGATAACACACGCAATCTAATGAGAGTGGGTAAAAAATCATCAAGCACTTGTCTAGGTAAGCAATTTTGTCCCCACAAGGGGCCAACTGGCAGAAAGGTTCGCAAACATTTGAAATCGTGAAAAATCTCACAATTCATAGAAATGTCAAGCTTTTCACGGTTATATGATAAATGGCGAACGTTTTTAGAGATCTTAGTTCCATATTCAAGCCGACAACAACTTGTTCCTGCCACGTAAGTAGCTAGGTCCCTAATAAAGTCATGCATGAAAATTTTTTCTTCTTCAGTATCATCATTTGATTGTTGGATTAAGGATCTAGATATCAATTCATCAAAGAACTCATCACATATTTTCTCGGCTTCCTTTGAATCTAGAGATTTCTCAACCAATCCTTCTGCCATCCACAACAAAACCAGTTGCTTCCTATCAAGTGGATAATCTTTTGGAAAAATGGAACAATAAGTGAAACATCTTTTCAAGTGAGAAGGAAGATATTGATAACTCACATGCAATGCCGGCATGACATCATTTGTTGGTAATTCCCAGATGTCACTGTTCAAAATTGCATCCCAATACTCTGCATCTAGATTAGTCCGTAGAAGTCCTGCAAGTGCCTTAAGAGCTAGTGGCAGTCCGCCACACTTTCTTGCAATGCTCTGGCCAATATATTCTAGCATTGGGTCTACAGAGCCCCCAAAAGCAAAGACATCCTTTAAGAGTAAAGACCAAGAGTCTTCGCGCGATAGACCACCTAATAAATAAATATGTGATGCACCTGTCATCATTGCAACTGAATGGCTACGTGTTGTGATGATCACCTTGCTTCCTGATTTTCCAACAAAAGGACTTACGAGATCAATCCAATCATCATATACTTCGTTCCACACATCATCCAACACAAACAAAAATCTTTTGCCCCTTAAGTTTTTCTTCAATTCAGCTCTGAGAATATGAAGATCATTGGTATCCCAGTTTCCTAAAGTGACAGTTTTTAGGAGACTTCTAGTTATTTCCAAAATATCAAAATCTAAAGACACAGAAGCCCAGGCTTTTAGATCAAAATGATTCTCAACTTTTAAGTAGTTGTAAACAAGTTTGGCCAGGGTCGTTTTACCCAGACCTCCCATGCCTGCAATTGCAACAACTTCTAAGTTATTTTTGTCATTATCTCTTTCAGATAGCAACATGTTAATTAGTTTCTCTTTATCGTCTACCCTACCAACAATAAAAGATTCATTTACAGATGATATTGTAGTTGAACGTCTATAGGCTGTAGGAAGAACCTTATGACTTACCGTTTGCAAGCCAAGGTTATCTATCTGTTGTGCAAAAAGCTGCAGTCTCTCACACGCAGTCTTTAATTGGGAGTTGAAATCTTCACTGGTATTAAAAAGAGATGAAAGAAAATTCCACCCCGGATTCCTGACCTTGCACCGCAGAGAATCGTAACTAATTTGGTTCAGCAAATCCTCTGCGTCGAAGATTGCATCTTTTAACTCATCAAGCCATTTTCTGATACCAGGACAGTGGATCTGCTTCTTCTCAGCATCATCCAGCACAGGCGCAAGAGTGAGCAGTGCTGTTTGCAACTGCGTCACGAGGGAGAGACTTAGCTTATTGTTGTTGGCGTAATCTTGAAAGTCCTTTGAAGTTAGTTTGTCAATCATGGTTTGAATAGGTGCAGAGAGAAAGGCAGATCCGACAGTAGTTGAAGTTGCAGCCATCTTTATGTTGAATGAAGGTACGGTAACTTGGAGTTAACTTCTCATACCAACATGGATCCGCCGCCGCAATCACTGCAATCTCTGTTGGTTCTGTGAAATATTAGATAATCCAATTATTTTTAAATAGTCCAATCTAACCAGTTTTACAAAAGTCCGGTTTTTTAAATATGGATATGGGTAACACTTTGAAACCATTTATTTTGCACGCTCCTGTTTTGGGACCATGATTGCAATGGATAATAGCTATTCGATTTCATCTTAGCATCTTTGAATTATATAGTAAATATTAAACTTACATTATTTTAGCGATAAGATTGAGATCGGATGGTCAGAAATGCCCTCACTGAGTGACTGTAGAAAGCTATTGACCGTATGCAATCTTGTTCTTGTCGATACAACAGGTCAACAGCACTACAGAATACAAGTTAGAACGTTGTGGCAATTGTTCAACAAATGGAAGCATTCACTCTAAGCGCAGGTGAATCCTCTTCTTCTCCTGGCAGTTCAAGTTCATTCACAAGGTTATGCACTTACCATGTCTTTTTGAGTTTTAGAGGAGATGATACACGCAAAGGATTCACCGATCATCTATGTGCTTCCCTCGAAAGAAAAGGGATCACAACTTTCAGAGATGACAAAGATCTTGAGAGAGGACAAGTCATTTCACAAAAGCTAATCGATGCAATTCAAGATTCTATGTTTGCCATCACCATTCTTTCACCCGATTATGCTTCTTCCACTTGGTGTTTGGATGAGCTTCAAATGATCATGGAGTGCAGCAGCAATAACAACCTTCAAGTTTTCCCAGTCTTCTATGGTGTAGACCCGTCTGTTGTGAGGCATCAAAGAGGATACTATGAGGAGGCTTTCAGAAAACATCAAGAGAAATTTGGTCAACACAGTGTTAGGGTTGAAAAATGGAAAGATGCTTTGATTCAAGTTTCCAGTTACTCTGGATGGGATTCCAAGGACCAGTAAGTTTGTATTTAACCTCCTGATCTGAATATTGGATCTATATTCTCTTATGTTTATTAGTTGAAGTTACAATGTAAAACAAATATATGTGAAGCAAACGACCTTATCTTTTTACTTTGTTGCTGCTTCTTTCCTTATGTTATGTACAGGCATGAGGCATTACTAGTGGAACACATTGCTCAACACATACATAGAAAGTTGGTTCCTAAATTGCCATCTTGCACAGCGAACCTTGTTGGGATTGCTTCCAAGGTGGAGGAAGTGAACAAGTACATAGGTATGGGGTTGAATGACGTTCGTTTTATAGGCATATGGGGTATGAGTGGCATAGGTAAGACATCTATTGCAAGAGCAGTCTATGAAGCAATCCAATGTACATTTCAAGTTCCTTGCTTTCTTGAAAATGTTGGAGAGGCATCTGAGCCAAAGGGTGGTTTAGTTCAGGTGCAAAGACAACTTCTTTCTCATTTGAGTATAAGTAGGAATGATTTTCATAATTTGTATGATGGGAAGAAAACAATACGAAACTCTTTATGCAGAAAAAAGGTTCTCCTTGTTCTTGATAATGTGAATGATGTAAACCAACTGGGGAATTTGGCTGGGAAACAAGATTGGTTTGGTCCAGGAAGTAGAGTAATAATCACAACTACAGATAAACACCTGCTATTGAATCACGGAGTACATAACATTTATGAGGTTGGAATGCTATCCCAAAAGGAAGCCCTTCATCTCTTTTGCTTAAAAGCCTTTAAAGGAGATAAACCACAAGAAGGGTATTTGGATTTGTCCAAAGAAGTGGTGGACTATACTGGTGGTCTTCCATTGGCACTTGAGGTGTTAGGTTCCCATCTTTATGGAAGAAATGTTGATCTTTGGCATAGTGCTCTTAAAAATATAAGAAGTGCACCTCCACGTGAAATCCAAGATAAACTGAAAATAAGTTATGAGAGTTTAGGCACCATGGAGAGGGCTATATTTCTAGATATTGCCTGTTTCTTCAAGGGAATGAAAAGAGATAAAGTAATAGATATATTAGAAAATTGTGATTATAGCCCCCAAATTATAATTCAAGATTTGATTGACAGATCTTTGGTAACTCTAGATCGGGTGAATAATAAACTGGGAATGCATGACTTGCTTCAAGAAATGGGCAGGAATATTGTTTTTCAGGAATCTCCTAATGAACCTGGGAGACGTAGCAGGTTATGGTGTAAAGAGGACATTGATCACGTGTTGACGAAAAATAAGGTGGTTACTAATTTTTCTACCACTGTTGTATGACTGGTTTTATATGAAGTAAATAGGTACTAGTATTTTATTATACTTTGTGATACACAAACGGCAATACATACGGTATTTTTTTGCTTAAGATTGTGTTTCTCCTCATTCTGTGTTGAATAAGAACCACGTACATTCTAGAGATTATAATGATTTTATAGGGAAGCAAAAAAATTAGCAGTATAGTCCTCAACTTACTCCAACCATATGAAGCTCGCTGGAGCACCGAAGCATTCTCAAAGGCAAGTCAGCTAAAATTGCTCATCTTAAATGAAGTGCAACTTCCCCTTGGCCTCAGATTCCTTCCTTGTTCGTTGAAAGTTCTTCGTTGGAGAGGATGTCCTTTGAAGACTCTGGCACAAACAAATCAACTTGATGAAGTTGTTGATGTTAAATTATCTCATAGCAAAATTGAACAACTTTGGCAAGGAATAAATGTAAGGCCTTTTTACTAAGAGCTCTATTATGTTTTATCACCTTGATATTTGGAGCTTATAGCTTGTTCATATTTGACGATTTTGAGCAGTTTATGGAAAAGCTGAAGTACCTGAATATGAAATTTTCCAAGGACCTAAAGAGATTGCCTGATTTTTCCGGGGTTCCAAATCTTGAAAAATTGATTCTTAAAGGCTGCACAAGCCTAACTGAGGTTCATCCATCCCTTGTACACCACCAGAAAGTTGTTCTGGTGAATTTAGAAGACTGCAAATGTCTTGAAGCTCTTCCAGAGAAATTGGAGATGAGTTCCCTGAAGGAGTTGATTCTTTCTGGCTGCTGCAAATTTAAATTCCTTCCAGAGTTTGGAGAGGGCATGGAAAATCTATCAAAGCTTGCTTTACAAGGAACAGCTATAAGGAAACTACCCTCATCACTTGGCTGCCTTGTTGGGCTTGTTGCTTTGAACTTAAATGACTGCAAAAGTCTTGTTTGTCTTCCAGATACTATTCATGGATTGAATTCACTCAAAATTCTGGACATTTCTGGGTGCTCAAAGCTCTGTAGATTGCCAAATTGTTTGAAGGAAATTCAGTGTTTGGAGGAACTCCATGCCAATGATACTGCTATTGATGAACTACCTTCCTCCATCTTTTCTCTATATAATCTTAAATTAATATCATTTGCTGGGTGCAAAGGGACGTTGATCAAGTCAACGAACCAATTTAATCCCTTCAAACGGATGCAACCGTGTCAACCACCTCCCATTGGATTCAGATTTCCACATTATATTTCTAACCTGCCCTCTTTGAAACATATAAACTTAAGCTACTGTGATCTTTCTGAAGAATCAATTCCTGATTATTTTTGCCAATTAGCATCACTAGTGTCTCTGGATCTAACTGGCAACAATTTTGTTACCATACCAAGCAGCATTTCTAAACTTCCAAAGCTGGAACTTCTTACTCTAAATTGCTGTAAAATTCTTCGATCGGTGCCAGTTCTTCCATTTGGTATAATGCAATTGGACGCAAGCAACTGCGATTCACTGGAAACTACCAAATTCAATCCAGCAAAACCATGCAGTCTCTTTGCATCACCAATAAAATTGTCCTTACCGCAACAATTTAAGAGCTTTATGCAGGTATGTAATTTTTGATTCAGCTATAATAACTGTAAATTATTGAAGTACTTTCACGGTGAAAAACATTAAGTCAACCAATGCGTAAGATTACCTTTGCAGTAAAAGTGTGATGCTTTTGTTTATTCAACTTCACAATTATGTGTTGCAGGGACGTTGTCTCCCTACTACAAGATTTGACATGCTTATCCCTGGGAGTGAAATTCCATCTTGGTTTTCTCCTCAAAGATCTGTTTCCTGGGCAAAGCTACACACCCCTTGTAATTTCCATCAAGAAGAATGGGTAGGAATTACTTTGTGTTTCCTATTAGTGAGTTATGCTGTCCCTCCTGAATTGTGCAATCATGAGATTGACTGTTATTTGATTGCATCAAATGATAAGAAGTTGATCAGCACAAGGAAATTACCTTGTATGGATCCAAGTTATCCTCACCTTTATATTCTCTACTTGTCCATTGAACAATTTCGCGACAAAATTCTCGATGAGGATTATTGGGACGACATTGAATTTGAGTTGAAGTGTTACTGCTGTGATTCATTGAAAATATTGAGGAGTGGCTGCCGCTTGGTGTGCAAGCAAGATGTTGAAGTATTTCAAGCTCATACAGTTGGTCCTTGACAATAGCATCATTACGAGTATGGTTTAAGATTGTTTGAATCTGTAGAGAAAAAAAACGTAAGAATCATGATGTGTATTAAAGTGTGTACTTATAAAGATTTTGCAAAGTCATCGATTCTTTTTCTTGAAGGTTAAATGCATCTTCCATTCCTTTGCGATAGATATTTGTAAATATTACTAGTCTTTTATATTTTTTTAATCGAGTTATTCCTTTATGTTTTGAGAAGTTCTCAATCCACTTTTGTTCATTTTCTAGAGCCTCTCAAATTGTGTATTTTGATCAGGTTTGAAGGATCATTTCAGATGCTTTAATTCTGAACGAATCATTATATTCACAAGCAACCTTTCCCTCCTCTATTTCAGTTTCAAATTAAGAAACTTTTAAAAATTTAAAAATTACCAATTTTTCATTTTGTTTGTTTCTCATATTTCTGCATTGGCATCTCTTTTATACTCGTTGTACTGACATAAGTTGATTACATTTCAATATGTGATGACAATGAAAAGAGACAATAAAGTTTACATATTCACTTTTACAAAATATATCTATCATCTTGATTGGAAAAAGTGTTTTATCAGGGTTGGTAATCCGTAGTAACGTGATAGAAAATGTATTACTTTTGATCTCAGATTAATGCATGAGATGAAAAATTAGATAATACACCACTTTTCATCAATATTGGGTCTGTCAACCATGATGAGAAGTGGTTTGGTCGTGTATTAGATTCTCAACAAAATCATTTTATATTCACGGTTGTTACGTTTAATACAAGAGATAAATGTGTTGTTATGGGTCAAATATTATATTCATACAAGTCTCACATCGGACCGTAGAAAGAAAATAAAATTTATCTATTAATATAAATAGAGATAATTAGTTTGAGTTTTTTATACACTAACAAAATGAAGTCTTTTGAGTGTACTAAATATATCAATAGTTGTCTGTTATACAGGATATAATTTTCCGTTCAAAATAGTTTGTTGAGAGAATTTTCTATTTTACGGTTTAAAAATAATAGTCAAAAGAGGATTTGTAATTTTTCTGTCTAAAAATTGTAATTGAGATATAGTTTGCAATTTTTTTACTAAAAAATTGTAATTGAGATAAGGTTTGTTTTGAGCGTTTGCAATTTTTCTATTTAAAAATTACAGTTTTAAGGGTTTGCAATTTTCTAAAAAATTGCGCCATGTTTGTTGCTTGCTCTAAAACTATTTGGCTATGTGGTTTTTTTTTTATTGAAGTTGGATTTTCTGAAACAGATCCTACATCACTTTATGCCGACAATACAAGTGTCATTTAGATTGTTGCAAATTCCATCTTTCATGAACGCACTAAACATATCGAAGTTGATTATCATTCAATCCATGATGCCTATAATGACCGACTTATAGCACTTTCTCACGTCAGTATTCAACTTCAGGCTGCAAATACTCTTACCATAGTTGTTCCGCGCCCATGCCATCAGTTTCTTGTTAGTGAATTGATACTTAGTGACCACTCACATCAATTTGAGGGAAGGTTAATTAGGAATTGATATTTCTTTTATTCTGAACTAGTAACAAACCCGTGCATACGCATGCACGGGGTATATTTTTTGGTGGGATATAGTTTTGAATGCACATTTATTTGCTGTCTGTCATAAAAACGGATAGTTGATAAAAAGAAAAAATTTAAGAATAATAATAAATTTTAGATGAAATAGAAACATATGTAGAAGATGAAAGGTAAACAACAATATCAAGAATAATATGATTAAAAATAAAAACTATTGAAACTTGTATTAGATAAATCAATCATTTTAGTTTTTTTTTAAAATAAGACAATTATTTTATAAGAGATAATATAATTTTTAAGTATCAATTTAATCTTTTTTTAATAAGTTCTCTTAATCTTTTTTACATATTAAAAAAAACGTTGATAAATTTTTATTGTTCAATATTTAGAACAATAGTAAAGTTGTTCTTGTTTATAAAAATAATATTTTTTTTCTCATATTTAAAAATATTTTAATCAATTATGTATTTTTTTTCTCGTACATAAATATTATTTTTGTTTTGATATTATTTATAAAAATATTTCAATCAATAGTAAATTTGTTCTCGTATATAAAAATATTTTAATTAATAATATATTTTTTTTCCGTGTATAAATATCATTTTTGTTTTGAAAATTTTATAAAAATATTTGAATCAAGAATAAAGTTGTTCCTATTTATAACAATAATTGAATAACTTATTTCATTTTTTCTATTTCAAATAGTTTTTATAATATGAAAAAATAAAATTTATTAAAATTTTATTGACTCAACACATATTTAGATTAATAGTTTTATTTTTTCCATTTCATATAAATTTCACAATATGAACAAAAAAAAAAATTTATTGAATCACTACATAATTCATATCTAAGAAGGACATTAATAGAAATTGTATGAATATGAAAATTGTGTTTTAAATACTAGATATCTAAACTTTTTTCAATGGCTAGATAACAAAACACGAGGGAAATATCAAATTTTATTTTTTTATTTAAATTTTAAATATTGATATTTGAGTCATTTATAAGGCGAAGTAATGAACTTATTCAATATTCTCAAAATAATTAATACGTGATAAAATATATTATGTTTTTTTTTATAAACAATATAACAATATTATTTCGATCAATAGTAAACATTTTTTGTATATTAACATGACAACTTGAAGGTTCATAAATTTCTATAGTTTGTGAGTTTTCCGAAGTTTTTTTAAAGGATGTCACTTCTCTTCCTCCGGAGAGGGAAGTGAAATTCTCTATTGACTTGGTACTAGGAACGACTCAAATATCCATTTCTCCGTATTGGATGGCACCGCTCGAGTTAAGAGAATTGAAAGAATAATTGGAAGAGTTATTGGCTAAACCTTTTTATGTGACCAATGCTCCAGCTGTTTTCATGGATTACATGAATAAGATATTTCAACCTTACTTGGACCAATTTGTAGTGACCTTTATTGATGACATTCTTATTTATTCTCGTATTCCACAAGAGTATGAACAACATCTAAGAATTATCCTATCGGTGTTGCTAGAGAAACAACTCTTTTCCAAGTTAAGCAAGTGTGAGTTTCATGGTCATGTAATATCTCAAGGAGGTGTGGTGGTAGATCCCTCAAAGGTGGAAGCGGTGATTGATTGGGAGAGACCGAAGAATGCTTATGAAGTCAAAAGTTTTTTAGGTTTGGCAGGTTATTATAGGATGTTCATTAAAGGTTTTTCTCAGTTGATATTACCAATGACTCGACTTACCCAGAAGGAGATTCCTTACAGTTGGGATTCAAGTTATGAGAAAAGTTTTGCGAGTTTGAAGGAGAGATTGACGATTACTCTTGTTTTGATCATTCCTGATCCTAGTAAGTCGTATGATGTATTTTGTGATGCATCTAAGAAGGGATTAAGGGGAGTTTTAATGCAGGGTGGTCAATTCGTAGCTTATGCCTCTCGTCAGTTGAAGGTTCATGAAGAAAATTATCCAACTCATGATCTGGAGTTAGCAGCCGTTGTTTTTACATTAAAGGTATGATGTCATTACTTGTATGGAGTGCGCTTTGAGATGTTTAGTGATCACAAGTGTCTAAAGTATTTGTTTGATCAAAAGGAGATGAACATACGTCAAAGGAGGTGGATGAAGAATTTGAAGGACTTTGACTTTGAATTAAAGTGTCATCCAAGTAGAGAGAATAAAGTGGCAGATGCGTTAAGTCGGAAAGAAGTACATAAAGCCGAGTTGATGATATTTGAGTATGCATTGTTGGAAAATTTTAAAGATCTAAATCTTCAATTTGTTTGGACTTAGAATGGTGTGATAATGGAAAATTTGAATGTTAATTCCACTATAAGGGGAGAAATTCAACAAGGACAAATTACGGACGCGAAGTTGCAAAGGATGTTGGATCAATCGGGTTTCACTCTTGCAGGGATGAAGTTGTTCTTTTTAATCAAAGAATTTGTGTTCCGCATGATATAGAGTTAAAAAGCAAGATTTTGGAGGAAGCTCATAAAAGTGCTTCTACCATACACCCTGGTTCCTAAAAAATGTATCAAGAATTGAAGAAGGACTGTTGGTGGTTCGGGATGAAAATGGATATTGCGGAATATGTGTACGAATGTGTAGTGTTCCAACAGGTGAAGATTGGGCACCTAAAACCGCATGGTTTGTTGCAACCGTTAAAGATTACGGTATGGAAATGGGATAGCATTTTAATGGATTTTATAGTTGAGCTACCTCGTACGCAAGGTGGTTATGATTCTATATGGAGGTTTGTGGATCGGTTGAAAAAAGTCCGCACATTTCCTAGTAGTGAAGACTACTTACAAAGAAAGTCAACTTGCACGGTTGTTTGTTGAGGAAAATGTTAGACTACATGGTGTCCCCTATAGTATTATGTCCGATAGAGATCCAAAGTTTACTTCAAGATTTTGGAGAGCGTTTCAATAAGCAATGTGATCTAGGTTGTGCTTAAGTACGTTGAATCATCCTCAGATGGATGGTCATACGAAAAGGACGATACAAAAGTTGGAAGATATATTGAAAGCTTATGTGCTTGAAAGTGGAGGAAATTGGAAAGAACTCTTGCCATTGACTGAATTTGCATACAACAATAGTTACCACACAAGTATCAGAGTGGCTCTTTACGAAGCTTTATATGGAAGAAAATGTAGAACACATTTGTGTTGGATGGAAGTTGGTGAAGAACGGATTCTAGGACCAAAAATTATGCAAGAAACTACGGAAAAGATAATAATGATACATGATAAGGTAAATAAGGCACAAGACCGTCAAAAGAGTTATGCGGATAATCAAAGGAGGCCTTTAGAATTTGAAGAAGGCGATCATGTATTTTTGAAGGTTACTCCAAGATTGAGGTTGAAAGGATTGTTTAAATCGCGGAAGTTAAGTCCGAGAGATGTGGGACCATATCAAATTTTAGAAAGGATTGGTGAAGTTGCTTACCGATTAACC